CACTTTCACCTTGGATGTTGTCTCCTAGCTTCCAGCGCAGACCCTTCAGCCTCCTAATACCAACTCGCACGGACACTACACAGAGCTCCAGGCCTTTGACTGGATGCTTGGGATCCCCAGTGCACAGATTGACCTTTTGTGCTCTTCCATACCTGACTCTGGACAGCCATCATAAGCCAATCTGTAAATTCTTAGATATTTGTGTATCTTCTATTATATTTATTTCTTTAGTAAATACTGACTGATACACCAGCCAAGATATCTTGCTTTGGGCACCACTAAAAACTTTTATGGCCTGTAATCCCAGCACCCTGGAGGCTGAGGCAGAAAGATTCACTGTGAGTTTGAGGCCAGCCTGTGCTACAAAGTGAGTTTAAGGCCAGCCTGAACTACACAATGAAACCCTGTCTCAAAAAGTTAAAAAAAAAAAAAAAAAAAAACTTGCATAAAGCTAGGCATGGTGGCACACATTTGTAATCCGAGTACTTGGGAGGATGAGGCAGTAAGATCGCTATGAGTTTGAGGCCAGCCTGGGATACATAGTGAATTCAAGACCAGCCTGAACTACATAGCAAGACCCTGTTCCAAACAGAGAGAGAGAGAGAGAGAAAGTTGCATGAACTAGCAAATGTAGTATATGTTGATTCAGAATCTAAAGAGGCAGCGCCAAGCACTTGATCCTTCTCCCATGAATGGTGTTCAGTCTTCAGGTCAGAAAGCAATTCTGGATAACCTGCCCTTCCAGATCATCTGTTCTGACTATGCATTTAAGAACTTCATCATCAGAGAGACTCACAGACTCACTGTAAAATATACGCTAAGCCACTGAAGCACACTCTGACTTTAAACTTCATTTTCCTAAGCCCCCTCTGAATTATGAAGCTTAATGTTTGGAGTCCAAAGGTGCTAACCTTGAGCCAGAGCCACTGCACGCTTATCCCTCAAAAGTCTGTATCTTTCACCTTCTCCAGTGTCCAGTCATCCTGTAAAAGAGCGTGGATCTCTTTAGAGAAAGTTTAAGAGAAAATCACATGCTTGTAGCAGTATCACAGTGTTTTTTCCTGAAGAAGACTTGACACTCCCGTCAGTCAAGGGCTCCAGGTCTATAAACTGACTCAGATCTAGGGACTGAGCCTGAAGAGGCCTTCACTCTCCACCTGTGTCATTTAAATGGGGCTGTTCACCAGAACCAAGGGGATTTACTTAGTTAAAAATACAATTCAAGTAAGCTTTAAATCCATCTCTTTTAACCACCGCTAGATTGCTGAGTGAAATCATTTGATTATGTCCCTGGCTCTGTTGCCTTTGAGCAGTACAATGCCCTCCTTGTGTCTGGGATTTAAGGACTGCCACTTGACCTCTGGCCCTGTAGGACAATCAGCCCAATTAAAAGCAGGAAGCCGCTTCAGCCTTGGCACCTCCTGCCATCCTCCTCAGCAGGTCAGCATTCTAGAGTGTTTCAAGGAATCTGGTGCTCCCTTGCCAATGCTTGGGGGAGCCCTGGTACAAGGAGTATACTCTGGACCTCCATAGTTTTGAGATGGATGAGCAGGTCACTTGTGATAAGCCCACTCTAAGTTTTCTGTGTTCCAAAGCCTTTAATTTACCTCCGCTCCCTTAACCATCTTTTCGGGGGCGGGACTGCTGGGGATTACACCCCAGGGCCTTGTGCATGATTAACATGCTCAACTACTATGCAACGTACTCAGCCAGAAGTACGGTATCTTCAGGGAGGCTGAGGTAGGAGGATCACAATCTTGAACCTAGCCTGAACAATTTAGGGACTTAAGGAGACCCCCGTCCCAAAATAAAAATTGAAAATGGTTTGGGGATGCAGCCCTGTGTGAAGGCCCAAGATTCAATCCCCAGTACCACCAAAACAATAACAACAAAAACCATGGCATCTTTCATGATTTGTTTTTGTTTGTTTTGTTTTGAGAGAGGTTCTTACTATGTGTTGTCCAGGCTGGCTTTGAACTTGCTGTGTACCCCAGGCTGCCCTCACACTCATGGTCTTCCTGCCTTAACCTCCCCAGTGCTAGGATTACATGTGTGTGCCACCATATCTGGCAAAATATGGCATCTTACTGTTATTTAATATAGGTTGCTGTTGGGTCCAAGTTTCAATCAGCAAACCACTGAAGTCATCTCTAGGTGTTTCAAATTAACACATTAAATCCTGACCCTCGGTAAGTGCATTCATGTCTATAAATTTGGCCTGTTCAGTGTTATGGTCCTTCCTCACTAGTGTACCTCCTGACAAACTTAAATTGGCAGAATCTTACCAGCTTTCAATATGGCAGTCCCTAGGTCAGTCCCTGTATTCAGCACCCCACAAGGTATGCTGGGACCCAACTCTAGTTATGCAGGACTGGCGGAGGTGGGTCTTAAAAGCAATAGGCATCTTCTTGAAGAGCAGCCGCCCCATGTGAAAGTAATACAGAGTCCTCAGAACAAGGTGGTTAATTTCCTTAGGAGAGGAAGGACAGCTTGTGCTGGCAGAAGCTCATTGAATTGTCAGGTCCTTTTAGATGTTTTCATCCAAAATTCTTAGGTTTCCATACATTCCCGAAATCATGGTTTTCACATAAGAGTTCTGGCAAGGCCATGAAATCAATTTGTGCTGTAAGTCTGCAACCCATTAAATGAAATTTGGGATGTGGTTACACTGCTTTTCTGGCTACAAGAGCGATTACTTTAAGACACTCATAGAAGCTCTCTGCTTCTTTAACTGTGCTTTGTTCCAGTAATTAAACCCCCTGGTTGGACATTTTCTCCTTGTAAGCTCATTAATACGGTCAGAGGTGGCTAACTCACCCCAAAATCCTTGTAGTTCTCAATTCCATTATAACATTCTTTGTATGAGTCATGTGGTTTTGCAGATTTATAATTTAATAACTTTTTTGCCCTGGGTTTCTAGTGGTAATGACAAGATCATACTGCAAATTGAGCATCCCTAATCTAAAAACTCTGAAATCTGAAATGCTCCCAAATCTGGAACTTTTTGAGCTAGGCATGAGAGCATGCCTATAGTCCCAGGTACTCAGGGGCTAAGGTAGGAGGTTCACTGGAGCCCAAGAGCTTGAAACCAGCCTGCATGGCATACTGAGACCCCAATATCTATCTGTCTGTCTGTCTATCTATGAAAATTCTGAGTGATGACATGGCATTGCAGGTGGAAAATTCCAGATCTGACCTTACACGATAGTTCACAAAGTACAGGTGCACTAAAAACATTATATAAAATTATTTTCAGGCTGTGTGAATAAGATGTTTATGAAACATAAGTACATTTTTTGTTTAGGCTTCATCCCCAAGAGATCTCATCATGTAAATGCAAATATTCCAAAATCAAAAAAAAATTGAATCCCAAATAATTCTAGACTGTAGCATTTTGGATACAGGATATTCAACCTGAACCTTCAAATCTAAGCATGTCAAGGGTGCACACCTGTAATCCTAACACTGGGTAGGCTGAAGGCAGGAGGATCACAATTTTGAGTCCCACTCAGGCAGTTTAGCAAGACTGCTCAAAATAAAAGAATGGCTGGGAATATAGCTCAGTACGAAGGTGAAAGACTGTGAGAAGACAGGAGGGGAGGGGAGAGAAGGGGAGGAGAACAGAGAGGGGGAAAGGAGAGGGGGAGAGGAGAGAGGAAGGCGGGGAAGGGAGGGGAGGGATTCAACAAGGTCAGATTTTCAACCTGGAGTTTCTATAAACGCTGTAGCTATTTCTAAAACCAAGTACTTTATCAGTCAAGGTTAGGTCAAGAGAATAGCTTTTATTTCACATACTTGTGTTGTGCAAAACAAACTTTTGTTTCCCTCTAACCTCATTCCACACCAGTCTTCCGTGATCTCAATAGGTGTGGGAAGCGGGTGCAGAGGTGCATGCTTGTGATCCCAGAAAGCTGACAGGCTGAGGCAGGAGGATCCAAAATTCAAGCAGACTCTGGACAGTCTGCTTGAACTTTTAGCAATGTAGTGAGACCCTGTCATAAAATAAGACATGAAAAAAGAGCTGAGTATGTAGTTCATTGTGAGGGCTCTGGATTCAATAACCAGTACCGCAAAAAGAAAAAAAGCTATTGAGTTTCTCCCCGCTGGCAGGCGAGCAAGCAGTGCTGCAGCAGGGAGCACCAGCTAGATGTCTCCTGACAGTCTGTGGAGACTGCCCTAGTCACCACAGTTGAGGCTTCATCCCCAGAGGGTCCCCATATAGACCCAGGAGCAAGTCCAGGTCTGTGGAACTTCTGACATACCAGCCAGGGTTCCCATAACCCTCCTCTCAGCTTCCAGGAGGAGAAACCCATGAAATGAAACCTCTCATTCTTTCACCTTTGCACGGAGCTACATTCCCAGAAATATTTTTTATTTTGAGAAGTCTTGCTAAATTGGCTGGGTGAGACTCCTTTGCTGCAGTAGCTCCTCGAACTCAGGGAAACACTACTCTTCTGTTTACTGTGTACTAAAAAGGCTATTCAAAGAGCCTGCACAAGTAGCCGGGTGAAGAGACGCCTGGGGCAAGGTCTGGACAGGTCCTGAGGGCAGGAGCTTCTGCCCCAGCAAGGTCCTGGCTTCTCTGTGAGGCATTCTTTCCCCGCGGCACAGGGCTGAACCCTCCGGTATGACGAGAGTCTTACGAGCCTTATCAGGCTAGGTAGGTCAAAGAATTTCCTTATGACCAGCTAAATGCAGGGTAAGATCAGCATTTCTATAACCTACCTTGGGGCGGGAGTTATAGGTCAGGAACTGGAAGATTTTTGACACGGGGGAATTAGATGTTTACAAAATTATTGGCAAGACTAGGGGAGCAAAAGTCAAAGAAAGCAGCTGCTGGCTTTTAGGAACTCTGCAAGTGCAGGAATTACATGAAGCTGCTCCATCTCAGGAGCTGTAAACAGTTTTCAGCAGGAAGCCTTTGCCAGTTTACATTCCTTCCATAGCGTATCTTTACCCAACAGGCCATTCTCTCTTTTTTTCTTTACGATTTCCCCCAGCATACCAGAAGCAACCAGGCATTGTCAGAGAAGCTGTCTGAGTTGCTGCAAGAAAAGGAGGCTCTATGGAAAGAGCACGGGCGATACCTGGAGCAGCTCGACAAGCACGTGAGGTAAATGTCCAGATGTGCGGCCGAGACTGGAGGGCGGCTGTCCCCGAGTCCCTGACGGCCTTGGGAGGCTCCTTACAGCCACCTTCTCCGGGCCAGTGAGGTCTTCCTGTTTCCGGAGCTTCCACGCACAGAGTTTTTCCTGGAGATAGGGGCCCAGGGCCTTTCCAGGACTGGAAAGGAGAGGCAATTACCACTTGTTGAGCTCTGTTGGTATCTTGAGTCCCCTCATTCTTCTTCTCCCCTCACACACTGCTCAGTTTAAATCACCTTTTCCCATCTAAACTCTTCATTTCAACTCGGAATGTTTAGGCTTGGTGTCCCCTCCTTTCTTGACAACCCAGTCTGTGCTGGAGAGGTGCTCATTCTTTGTATCCCTGTAGCCCTTTGTCCACGCCTCTCTGTGCTTACTTCAGAGCTTGTCGTCATGTTCAAAGAGCGGGGTTCAGCTGCGCTTGGTGGCGCACGCCTGTAATCCCAGCACTTGGGAGGCGGAGGCGGGAGGCTTGCTGGGAGTTTGAGGCCAGCCTGGGCTACAAAGTGAGTTCACGACCAGCCTGAGCTGCATAGTGAGACCCTGTCTCAAAAACAAAATAAAACAAAACAAAGAATGTGGTTTGCTAGCTGTCTTCCTCGCCAGGCTGTAAGCTGTTCAAGGGCGTGTGGACTCTGTTATAGTCCCTGGCAGACAGGTGGCACTCAAGTAAACTATGTCCCTAGCCAGCCTAACAGCATACACCTGTAATCCCAGCTACAGTTCTTGGGAGGCCGAGGCAGGCAGGATTGCTTGACTTTAAGGCCAGCCTAGGCAACGTAGTAAGAACCCCATCTCTTTAAAAAATGGGGAGAGGGGATGCCAGGGATGTAGCTTAGTACTAGACTGCTTGCCTAGCATGGACAAGGCCTGGCCCCAGCCCACATACACGCACACAACTTGCTCCACTTCTTGCTGTTTCTATTTCCTGCCCATCCATCTACCAGATTCCTTTCAGTCTCCTCCCCTGAAGTATGTGAGCACAGTAGTTCAGAGAATGGACTTCGGAGCCGCACTGCCTGGTTACAAATCCTGGTTCTGTTAGAAACTAGCTGTATAATCTTGGGTAAATTATAAAACCTCAGTGCCTGAGGGGTTTTGTTGTGCTCTGTTTTGTTTTTTTTCACTGCTGGGGATAGAATGCAGGGCCTTCATACTCAGCTACAGCCCCAGCCTTATTTTAATTTTGAGTCAAAGTCTTCCTAAATCACGAAGTTGCCCAGGCTGGGTTTGAAATTTCAGTCCTCCTGCCTTGGACCCCCAGAGTGCCAGGATCACAACAGGTTTTGGCCACTGTGCCTGAGTGGTCACACAGCTTTAAAATGGGCAAAATAGCGGTATTGATGTCATAAATTTGTTGCAAGAATTAAATGACTGAATATATACAGTGCAGACTTACTCAGTGTCTGACACACAGTGAGTGTTTTTATTTCATTTATTTATTTATTTATGTAAATTGGGCTTTCTCCATGACCCACCTCTCCGTAGCCCTCTGTTCCTTCCATAGGTTGAAGTTTCTTATTTTCTTATGCTGTTATTCTTTTACTATGTTGCTGGTAGTGATGACTTTAAAACCATCACTTACTGCTTTAGAGCAAAGAGTTATGGGGCTAGGGATATAGCTCAGTGGCACAGTGCCTGCCTGGCAAGCGTGCGGTTGTGAGTTTGATTCCTGGTACCAGAAAAAAAAAATTCAAACTAGAGCAAGAGTCACTGGTCATCACCGTCGTACTTTAATGATTGTATTAGTCAGCTTTCCATCACTGGGACAAAATGCCTGACATATATACTTTAAAGGAAAAAACATTTATGTAGACTCATGATTTCACAAGTTTCAGTCCATGGTAAGCTGGCTCCAGTGCTTCAAAAACATCATGGCAGACAGCACGGCAGAGGAAAACTGCATACCTCACAGTGACTAGAAGCTGAAAGGGCAGGAAGGGGGCCAGACTGAGAGATGTACCCTCCAAAGGCAGCCCCCTAACTGGACCCCACCTCCCACTAGGCCCACTGAGCTACGAATTCATCAGTGGATGGATACATTGCTGAGGCTAGGGCCCTCATGATCCAGCCGCCTCTGAAAGCCCCACACATGAGACTTCACGGGTCATTTTAGACTTAAACCGTAACAATGAGTATATCACTGAGAAATACAAAAACCCAGATAAAGAGAGTGCATATGGTTCTGATCATGCTTCTAGAAACCTAAGACTAGGGCTCAGTCCACTGATAACCTATGCAGTGTTCTTTCCACATTTTATCTTGTACTTTATGGCCGTAATCTTCAAATTTACTTTCCTTTTTTTCTTCAATATTGCACATTGAACTCAAGATCTCTGTATCTTATACCTGACTTCCCTCTCTCCTCCAGCCCTAGGCAATCACTAATCTTTCTTCTTCCCTGTTTGCCTTTCATGGACATCTTATATAAATCAAATCATAATATGTGTGGTCTTTCGTGTCTGGCTTCTGTCACTTAGCATAACGCTCTCCAGGCTCATCCATGTTGCAGCATGTATCCGTACTTCATTCCTTTTTATGACTGAATGATGGCCCACTGCATGGTTACCATTCATCAGTGGATGGAAATTTGGGTTGCTTCAGTCTTTTAGCTATTGTAAATAATGCTGCTGTGAACATTTGTGTATAGGTTTTCATAGCAACAAACATTTTCATTTCTCTTGAGTATACGCCTAGGAGCAGAATTACTGGGTCATCCTGGGACTCTGTGAGTAACCATTTGAGGAAGTTTCAGGCTGTTTTCAAAAGTGGTTGTCCCACTTTACATTCCTGCCTGCAGTGGATGAGTTTCCACTTTGTCCATGTCTTTGTCAGCATTTGTTATTATCATCTTTTTTATTCTGAATCAACATAGTGAGTGCATAGTACTATTTCATTGTGATGTGGGCTTCGTTTCCTTAATGGCTAATGATGTTGAGCATCCTTTCATTTGCTTAGGGGTAAGCACTTCGCTTTATGTCAGAATCAGAGCAGGAATGAGAAGCAGAGACCTATATAGAATTGACATTTTAAAAATCCAAACCAATGAGGGGGGTTCAAGGGAGGGGATGGGAATAGGAAAAAAAGAAGAATCAAGGTATGTTATGTACAGGTACAAATTCCCTACCATGAATGTGATCAATATGAATGACACACATGTACTAATTTTAAAGAGATAAAAAATAATAAATACTCTAAACCAAGAACAGGCCCAGTTATCTGGAAATTAGGCAAGACTGAACCAGTTATATCACTGTTCAAGAGTATAGCTAAGAACTGGGAAATTTTAAATTAATGACCTAGTCAGTGAAGCAGGATTCAGAACTAGATGTCAGCGGTCAGAAGTCAAGGAGTTTCCTAAGTTAAACTCAGATGCAAGAACTACACCATTATGATCAGCTCTGATCAAGACAAGCCAGAGACCAGAGGCCAGGGGTGATTGCACTTGTTCTGTAGAGTGCTATCCCTGGTTTACTCCCCCACAGAGGGCCAGGATGTGAGGCAAGATAAGTATCCACATCTACCACCAGGACCTTGACATAAGCAAGGAGAGAACCCAAGAAGGTATACACTGAGGAAGCAAAATAAATTTTAATTATGTTCAGATATGCCTGTACTCCAATTTACTTTTATAGAAACTGCAATGAAAAACATCACCACCACAAAGCTAAGCTTCAAAAGGTCAAGGATCGTTTAGTTCATGAAGTAGAAATACGGAATAAGAGAATTAAACAACTGGAAGATGAGACTGGAATACTGCAACAAAGAATTAAATCGGTGAGAAATAAAAAAGTGTACTGATGGTATTGGTGGTCAGCCACTCTGAGAAAGCCCACCCATTTTCTAATACCTTGTGGTCTCTTCACAGTCCTTGTTTTCATTTCTTTTTTTTTGCGGGGGAAGGTACCACCTTTCAAAGTGAGTAATTCTTTAAGCCCTGCTAACCAGTGAAAAAAGACTCAAGTATTACTAAATCAAATTGGGCACTAGGGGCTGGGGTTTAGCTCAGTGGCACAGCACCTGCCTGGCAAGCTCAAGGTCGTGAGTTCGATTCCTGGTACCGGAAAAAAATAAAAAATAAAAAAAAATAAAGTAAAACCAAATTGGGCACTAAAAATATTCTGCACTGCTAGTTTCTGTCTTGCCTTCAAGTGAATTATTTTTTCCAGTACTGGAGACTGAACCCAGGGCCTCAGCACTGGGCTACATCTCCAACACATTTTTTGAGGTGGTGTCTCCCTAAGTCATTAAGTTGCCCAAATGGGCTGGAATTTGCAGTCCTCCTGCCTCACCCTCCCAGAATGCTGGGATTACAGATGTGCACCACCACACCCAGTCAGGTATCTTTTCTTAAACACTCCTTAACAGAATCTTTCAAACCATCCTTAGTAACTCATTCCTGCTTTATGTAGCCTTCATGATGCCTCAAACTTTAGTGTCAATTTTAAGTGGCAGTAGAAACAGGAAACCCCTGTTTCTTTACCAATTCTTTTTTCTTCTTTTTAAAATTTTTTTCCATATCAGTTCTTGAATAGTGCCTTTAAACTTTTTTTTCTAAATATCTCTGATTTCTTTATGCTTCTTTTAGTGGCTTATTAGTATATGGTAAGAAGGAAATGGGACAGATGAATAGAATCAAATACAGAATGGTCTTGAGGTCATTAAACTACATGAATTAGAAATGGAGAGCAATGGACCACCCCAGTCATGTTTTCCCTTCTTGGACTGCCCAGCCCACTGCAGAGGAAAATGGCCGTCCTGGTTCATGGGCCCACTAGAAATCTAATCAGCCCACTTCTGCATTCTCAACTCTTCCTTGTGCTGCCTGCTGTCCAAGTATAAACTTCTAGGTTTATAGACCTGTGATGGCAGGCGTGCTTCCTCTCCTCCTGACTGTGAAGAGTGAATATTGTCCCCCAAACTCATCTACTCAGAAGCTCAGAGTGTGACCTTACTTAGAAATAGGTTCTTTGCAGGTATAATTAGTTAAAATGAGGTCATCCTGGATCAGAGTGAATTCTAAATCCAATATGACGTGTTTTTATAAAACTTCTAGGGCCAGGAGAAAATTAATTTCTGTCGTTTTAAGCCACTCAATTTGTGGTAATTTGCTATGGTGGCCCTGGGAAGCCACTGTACTAACAGAATCACATGTGTCGAGGAAATACCCTGGGTATCACCAATATGCAGAAGCTAAGAAAGGAACTGGATCTTTCACTCATTGCCACTGAATGGTTCTGAGGGTTTTAGCTTTGGACTTGGATTCAAATTCAAGCCCTGACATATAGTTTCATGACTTTGGACAAGTCTCTGTATATCATTTTCCTCATCGGTAAAATAGAGGAAAATATCTCCACCTTACATATAAGGCTTAGGGGGCTTTTTGGGTTGGGTTGGCTTGGGTTTTTGGTTTTAGTTTGGTTTTGATTTTCTTAAAACAGACATAGTCCAGACTGGTCCTAAACTTGATATACAGCCCAGTCTAACCTTCAAGTCACAACTCTCCTCCCTCCGCCTTCTGAGTGCTGGGGTTACAGGCGTGTGCCGAGGTGCCTGGCTTACACACATACACACACAGAGCTTTTGTGAGATTTAAAACATAAACTTTCTTTGTTTTTTTTGTTTTTGTTTTTTTCTGGTACCGGCAATCGAACTCACGACCTCACGCTTGCCAGGCAGGCACTGTGCCACTGAGCTAAATCCCCGGCCCCTAAAACATAAAATTCTTGAAGTGGCACATGTAAATTTTTCATAGGTATCATTTTCTGCTTTTGTGTATAATCTTTTAGAAGCGTGTTGACAGATGGATACACAGTTCACAAGACAAAGTATGGACCAAAATAGAAGTACTTAGCCTAGAGAAGATGGATGTGACAGCTTTTAATGCTGCAGTGCCACAAACCCGAATGCTCTGAGAGTACTTATTTTAGGACCCATAGGCCAGAGCCTTGTACATAGAAAAGCTACCCTTGCTTTCTGATTCTCCAAAAACTAATGCCTCTTCTTTTGGCTTCATTCTAACAGTCTTCTCTTTATACAGCAAGCCAATCAAGTCCTCTAACCATTGTGACCATCCAAGCTAGATTTTCCCAATATTTTATCTTATTTCTACATCAAGTCCTGATTTGGGGGTGTGTTCAAAATATGGTGTTTCCAAAGGGCAGGATGTCTTCCCCATCTAATATCCTTTCTAATCTAGTTATATGAACATAACATATTGTCTGTGAAATGGCAGCTTCTATTCTCAACCCTTACCAGTACATTAGTAATTAAATATCTTCTACTAATAGCAGGTGAGACTATCACTAGATATTTTAGGGCCCTCAAGAGGTTTTAAAATGTAGGATGCTTTGTTTCAGAACATAATCTCACTTTGTTAATAGTAAATGGACACCTTTTTAGTAGTCAATGGACAGTCTTTTCTGAATGATCTATATTAATAGTATATTTAAAAGAAACATATAAAATTGCTCTTTTTGCCTGGTACATATCTGTAATACATATCTGTAATCTCAGCTACTCAGGAGGCCGAGGCAGGAGGATTGCAAGTTTGAGCCTAATCTGGGCAATTTACCAAGACCCTGTCTCAAAATAAAAAACAAAAAGGGGTTGGGAAACTAGGTCAGTGGAAAAGGCTTTGCCGACATGTGTAAGGCCCAGTACCAAGATCAAAAAAAAAAGAAAAAAGGAAGAAAGGAAGGAAGGAAGGGAGGGAGAAAGAGAGAAAGAGAGAAAGAGAGAAAGAGAGAAAGAGAGAAAGAGAGAAAGAAAGAAAGAAAGAAAGAAAGAAAAGAAAAGAAAGAAAAAAGAAAGAAAGAAAGAAAGAAAGAAAGAAAGAAAGAAAGAAAGAGAGAGAGAAGAAAGAGGCCCCTTTTAAAGCTGTTATCCACCCATCTGCCAAAATTGTTATAATTCCCTGCACACACCCTACTCACCCCCACTTTTGGCAGGGGCTGGAAACAGAAATGGAAAGTGGAAGAAGGCACTTAGCATTTTCAGGTCGTTAGTGAGGTGAAATCAGCAGTTGTATACTCTGGGGCCCTAAACTATCACCAAGAGTGATACTTGTCAATATCTACAGACCCTTTCAGTATGGGAATGTTAGTGTTTTTTTCACAAAGTGTACTCCTTTATCACCTTACCTGAAACTTCACAACCTATTGCTTTGGGGAAAAATCACGGACAGAAAATGGAACACAGTGTAGAGCTAGAAGCCACCTGAGCGCTACCACTGCAGGAGGATGCTCCACAGCTGGCTCACAGGTGTAGCTTCCTGAGCCAGCAGGGCTCCTCCTCAGCAGGTGTGCCTGGTGAGGGGGCTAAACCCCATCTCCCGCCTTGTGCCCTACCAAGAATGTGGTTGCAAAACAGATAGAAATGTATTGCTTGGAGAAATTTTCAATATAGAGCTTTCAGGAATTCACTTGTATTTGTTGTCGGTTTGCTACCTGTGGGATTAGAATACAGGTAAGAGCACTGGAATCTTATTGGAAGTTGAATATTCAGATATTTTTAAATGTTTATGCAAAACAACGACTGAAAATCCAAATAAAATATATTACATGAAGTAACCAAAATGTATTCAGGAATACCTAGGTAGGAGTGCATGACGATGTCACCAGGCAGCTGGAGACAGATTGGAGAACAGGAAATGGAAAGTAAATAACATTTTGTTAGAGTTTGAAACAGGCTGAAACTCTTCCATTTCTAATTCTTTCCTTTGCCATGGTGATCTCTAGGAGAAGGAATTCCAGGACCAGATCTTGGCCCAAAATGATATCCTACTCCTAGAGAAAAGGAAGCTTCTAGAACAAGTCCTCAATCAAGAAGAATTGATCATCAGCAACAAAAGTATAATCTCTTCAATCCAGAGCAAGTAGGTGCAGCCCTGCCTGGGAGCCACTGGACTCTCAAAAGGATGTTTCTCCCTCAACCACCAGATGATTCCAGCAACTCTGAGTGTGTGGCACAGCCAGTGGTGGCGAACCTATGGCACACATGCTGCAGCAGGCTGTTTGTATCAGTAAAAGCTTCAAAACATTTGCCATCACTGGCCTAGCCTTTAACTCTTGCTGTGCTGTCTGCTGTTTTCAGCAGATCATGCAAATAGCAGAAATTGTGAAATTAAAGAGACTGTCAGCTGGGTTTGATGGTGCATACCTGTAATCTAAGCCTTCTGGGAGGCTGAAGCAGGAGGATCCCATGTTCCAACCCAGCATGGGCCACTTACAGACTTAGTGAGAGCCTAGCTCAAAATGATTTTTTAAGTTTATAAAAGAACTTGGGATCTTCTCAGTGTGAAGGCCCTGGGTTCAATTCCTAGTACTGCACAAAAAACAAGTAGAAATAGACTGTCATAGAGGAGACAGGCCTGTCATTCGGATAGGCTCTCTCATATCAATGTGGTCTCCCTGAGGACCTGGCTATGTGCATTCTGGCCACTCCATGTGTGTTGATGCTACTTTTTATCATTTGATACCTATGGAATCAAGGTAGCCCAAGAGAGCCTTAGGTTCAAAGGTGTGACTTAAAATCATGAAAGCTACAAGATACCAACATATCTGTCATGAGCAGTATGCAAAGCAGCTAGGAATTAGAGCATCAGCATCGTCGGCATCACTCCACAAGAGAATTTAATCACAATCAAAAGTTCTCTTAGCTTGGTGTTGTGGTGCATGCCTGTAATCCCACCACTCAGGAGGTTGTGGTAAGAGGACTGCCATGAGTTTGAGGCCAGCCAGGGCTACATAGTCAGTTCAAAGACAGCCTGAACTCCATAGCAAGACTCTGTCTCAAAAAAGAAAAGTAAAGTTCTTAGAGCAAGAATCAGAACAAAGAGAATGGGTTGATCTTGATATATAAGGTCACCAAAAATAACTACAATAATTAACATTGTTGGGCTGGAGATGTAGCTCAGTGGCACAGCACCTGCCTGGCAAGTGCAAGGCCCTGAGTTCGATTTCTGGTACCAAAAAAAGAAAATTGGAAAAAGAAAAAAATAATAAACCTAACATTATTTAAGCACTTACTATATACTAGATATACTAAATACCCACCTATCTCCTTTAACCTTGATACTATATTGTTAGCCTCATGGATGAGATGTTAGACAACTAACCCACCTGTCAGTGGCTAAGCTTGTATCGATCTCAGTGCCCTGGTCCTGGACAACAGCATCATATAGTCAGCTACTTTGGAAACACACTGCTCTGAGCATATCTGGAAGCTTCTGATTATCTTTTATGTTCATATTTCCCCTTTTCTACAAACCTTATAAATCATGCACTTCTCAAACTATATCATAGCTTCTGACAGTTTATAGATGAAGAAATTGTGACTCACATTGATAATTTGCTAAGGATCACATGGCTAGAAAGTGGCAAACCCAGAGCTCAAATATAAATCTGCAATCAAAACAATTTTATTATTTTGTCTTTCAAATGAACTGTAGCCCTGGATAAATGAGCCTGACATAGTGATTAAGAGATCAGGCTTAGAAGTCTTAAAAGATCTGGCTTCTCATCCCAGTTCTACAACATTGTTTTTATGTTCTGAAGTATATTACCTTCTCTTCTCTGAGCCTCAGTTTCCTCAACCATAAAATGAGCTTCAAAATAACACAAATTTCATGAGGTATTTGTGAGCATTAATAAACTAATTCATGAGAAGTTTTTGGTGCTTCCTATGTGGGTGGATTATAGGGCCTAAACTCAGGGTAAGAAGTTGGTGAGTAGCTGCTGCTACTACTACTGTTTCTATTTCTTTTATTTGTTTTATTTTTTTAATATCTCTTTCTAGAATATCCTTCAGAACATTTTGGAGCGCTGGTTTGGTGTTCATAAATTTCCTCAGGTGTTCTTTGTCATAGAATTATCTTCTCCATCAATTTTGAAACATACTTTTGCAGGGTACATCAGTCTGGGTTGTTTTCTTTTAGGGCTTGAAATACTTCACTCCAGGCTCTCCTTGACTTGAAAGTTTGTGTTGAGAAGTCTGCTGTGATTCTGATAGACTTTCTTTTATAGGTGATTTGTTTATTTTCTCTAACAGCTTTTATTGTTTTGTTCTTGTGTTGAATTTCTGGAATCCTGACTAACATATGCTTTGGTGTAGTTTTATCACAGCTAATTAGAGTTCTATATGCCTCACTTTTCTGTGTGCCAAATTCTTTTTCCCTGCTTGGTAAGTTTTTTGCAATGACTTCTGTGAAAAGGTTTTTTTCTATCGTTTGTGCTATCTCCTACTTTTTCATTGGCTCCAATCAATCTTATGTTATTCTTCTTTGCATCATCTAGCAACTGTTTGATTGTTTGCTCATGGTACCTTACTATTTTTAAGAAATCTTTCTTTTCATAAAAAAGAAAGAAATCTCTCTTTTCATGATTGCTAACTGCAATCCAGTCTCCTGAAATTCTGTCCTCACATTGGCTCATTCTGCAACATTACTTTCAATGGAATTTTTAATCTCCTAGATATTTGCTTGAATGTTTCATGGATTCCATTTCTTTCCTATGTCCGGTGTTTATGATTTCCATCATTTTCCTAAGCTTCTCTAGTTTTTTTAATCTATATCTGCTCTAGAGTCACTAGGCATGTCATTCAGTATGGTCACCATCTCTGTAGTTATCTGAGAAATTATTTCTGATTTGATTTTTTTTTCTAGAGCCCCATTCATCTGCTTTGTTACTTCCGCTGTTACCACTTCCAAGCAGGTGATTTTCAGATTTTCAGATTTTCAGATTGTCCCACTCATTGCCCCCTGGGTTTGCCTTTGGTAAGCTGGACATCTGGGATTGCATCCTGTTGAAGTGTTGTCTCATTTTCTATTTTCTTTTTTTGGTTTAATTCCTGGGTTGATGCTTGTAAATTGCTTATGGTGAGTAGCTTTATGGCTAGGATTTAGAACCATTAGGAAGTGACAATTTCTCAGAGGTGACTTCTGGGTGTAGCTGCCTTTTGAGTTTTGAGTGTGTTTGCAAGATCATACCTCTTCAGTTTATTGAGAATGAAAAGTTGAGGCCTAGTTGGCCCAGCCTCTGATTCTTTGGCACTGGCCTATAGTATTTTTTATGACCCTTAGGCAATCTCAGTCTTGGTACACTAAGAAAAACAACTGACTAGAACAATTATGTCACCTTAGCTAAAGTGTCACCTTAGCTAAATCAGCAAACGCAACAGCATCAAACACAGACCAGAAAATTATAAAACTGAGGTGACTATTAATTTGCCACCTTTAACTGTATGAACTAGATTTGTGGCATAACAGCATCTAAAACAAACCAGAAAATTGCATGCAAGAAATAGGGCCTCAATATGGCAGTTTTACCCTCAAGGGAGAAAATTTAAAAAGGGGTTAAGGGGGAAAATAGAAACATAAAATAGGAAGCAATTAGAAGCAAGGCTGGAGGACAAAGGAAGATCATGCAAACTTTGGGAAACTGGTGAAGAAGACAGAATGGAAAAAGAGAGGAAAGAAATAAAAACAAGGACAAAACAGAACAACAACAAAAAACCCTAGAAACTGTGTTCACACTCATATGAAAACAAGAACAATCAAAAAAAAAAAAAAGAGAGAGAGAGAGAAAAAAATTTTAAATGTCCATTTCAAGGCATGTCTGTGCTGTCACTGGTAGACAATGTGGACAGAGTCTAAATCTGAGTTGATTAATCCCAGAAAGCTAGCTGTAGCTTTATGGCTGGGTAATAGATAGTCCCAGCAAGCCTGCACCTTCATTTCCACTGAAGTTCAGGCTGGTTTCTGGCTGTGAAACTGGAACCACATTTGCTCAGCCTACAGCAGTCCATGTGCCTGCCGCTGACTTTACCTTGGCTCCCTGACCCTGTCACTGAGAGCCACTAGATGGAGCTGGGCCGCAGCCATTCTGAGTTCTGAGCTCAGTTGGCCTCTCCAAGATGGCTACTGGCCAATCCCCTTCTCCTGGTAGATATCTAAACCCAGTTAACTCACCAGCTACTACAGCCCGCTATGTCCAATGCTCCATTCCACTGGTGCACTTATCTGTGGAGGCCTCTGGGGTCACCAGTAGTCACTGTGCATCTGCAGGTTCAAGCTTCCCCTCCCATGCAGTGAGTTCAGGTTCAGGGAGAAAGCGCCACCTGCCACCTCCTTTTTTACTGAAATCCCTCTGCTCTTCCCATGACTTTCAATCCTCACTTCAGATCCTTCCTGAGTCCTGGGGACCCACTTCCTTCCTTCTTCTCTTCCTCACTTTGCTATATTCCAGTGTCTGGGTACCAAAGCTTGGAAAGACTTTCTCTGCTGCTCACCACTCTGCTATCTGCCCAGAAGTCCTGTTTTGTTTTTTGAGACAGTGTCTCATTATATAGTTGAGGCTGGCCTTGAATTCACTAGGTAGCTCAAGCTGGTCTCCAACTTGTGGTGGTCCTCCTGTGTTAGCCTTCTGAGTGCTGGGATTATAGGCATGCACCACCATGCCCACACTTCTTTTATGTTACAAGAGAAGCAGAACCAGCTCAAGATAAGAACAAAATATAAGCAGTGTAGCTATAATATTTGAAAGGATACAGTTTCAATCCTGTTCCTAAATGGATCATATCTTTTCTTAATGATCTTAAGGTCTGTAATTGCACCTTTCATATTCTTACACCTAGACTGTGTTTAATTAATAGGTATACGCCAAAAGTTTATTAATTTTTACTTGGTTGTGGAATATTGTAAGAATTATTCTGCAAAACTTGGTTCTAAAACCTAGACAGTGTTCTAATTATGCCTCTGATGTATGCCATTCTTAGAGCATTTTTCCTGGATAAAGAAAATAAACAACTACAGGAAAATCACTTCCATCTCATGCAGCAAGTCGTCCTCTTAGAGCGCATTTTATGGAGCATCCGGATTCACAGAAGAGAGGTATGATGTATATTTTTATTGGGTCTTTAATATGAAGTTTCAGTTGCTAAGTTTGCTTTCCTCTCTCATCATACAGCTATAGTCCTGCTCTCAACCTCACGGTGGGCTGTGACCCTTAGACTGCTGCTCTTCATTGGGCAAGCTTTTATTCAACATGCTCTTAATGTGGGATCCCAAAGCAATTTATGTTATATCTCTGAGTGTCTTCCTTGACACACTATGCTGTCATTGTTTTTCTTTTCTTTTCTTCTTCTCTATCTCATTAAGTCAGCAGTGAGAACCCAGAGGGTAAGAACTGTAGCTCATTCATCACCCTGTGCTCCATAAATTTTGGAGAATGAATGGATATTAAATGTTTTCCTTATTCTGAACAACCCTTTTTGCAATGGTTCATCCTAGACCCATTTGAAAAGAGAGATGAACAAATATGAGGCTCAGAAAAATAAAGTGAAACTAGATTAGTTTGCTAATGAGTTAAGACTAAGGAGAGCATCTGAGTCACAGAAAATCAATTATGTTCCAACAATTCAGACAGACAAGAAGCCAAGTCCAGAGAAACAGAAAATAATACAGTTTCAGAGAAGGTCCAGAATCTGGCTGGTAAGCAAGTCAGAAAGGGGGACCTCTGTAAGCCAGAGTATACTCTGAATCAGGCACAGAAGTTGCTTTCTTTCTTTCCTGGTTTGTATCACCTGGAAGACATTCATTTCTGAGATACTTCACAATGGATCCTGTTTCTTGGGCATTATTGCCACAAGGCCTGCATTTTGGTTTGTCTTACATAGTTATACCAAGCTTTTTTAGTTGTTTTGAAGGTTTTAATAAAAGTAGAACTGCCAGATTATATGCTCTGATTTCCAACAGTTTATCTTTGCTTAAGCAACAACTATCCTCATTTGTCTAGTCATTTATTCAATCACTAGATAAACATTCATTTCCAGAACTGCTAGGTCATAGGAATGCAAAGATAGCATCTGTTTCCAGATCTTCAGTCTAATAAAAAAAAAAAAGGACAGACCCATACTGTCTTAGTTACTTTTCTCATTGCTGAGACAAAATACCCTGACACCCAATGTTAAAGGAGCAAATGTATTATTTAGCTCACAGTTCATAGTTGACTGGCCCCAAGGCAGTGTGGCATGGCAGAGGGGCATCACAGAGGAGAAACAGTTTATGGCAGGCAGAAGGCAGCAAAAGCAAGCAATTGAGAGTAGCATCTTCTTTCTACACCTTTTATAGTCTATCTACACTACCTGACCTGGGGTGGGTGCCAAAACAATCAATGGATTAATTTGGTAACCACACACCCTTAATCCCAGCATCACACATCCTAGATCCAGCCACCTCTGTAAAAGCCCCACCTATGACTCCATGAGGCTTTGGGGGGACATCTAGACACAAGCTGTAACACACACATAATAAGTATTATAGTATTACAAGCGTTAGAAGACTTAGTGGGGTATATGGTGGGGCTAACAGCTTTGAGATCCACAATGTTACCTTCAAGAGATAAATGTTGCTCTGAGTCAAAAGTGTAGTATATCAAGCTTAATATTCCATGTATGACAGAAGTACAAAGTTGTAACATCTTGACACCTACTGGAATAAATAACTCCAAAATTGTTTTAAGCTTAGAATCTCAAAGATGTCCTAATTTGATCCCTTTATTTCACACACAAGTGAAATAAAACCCAGAGAGATTACATGATATGCCTGGATCCACTGTTACTACTTACATTTTCCAGATCTCTCAATTCTCAGTGATGAGTATTACACATTGAAAATAGATGAGTATCTAGATCTTTGAGATCAGACATATTGCTATCTTCTTTCTTTTGATTCAACACCTAAGGGCAGAAGAGGAAGACAGCCTGACACTTGTTGAGTGTTAACTATGTGCCTGGTATTATGCTAAGTATTTTACATTATCATTTAACCAACCAAATAATATTATGTGATAAGCTTTGCTGTTCTTATTGTCACAGCTGAAGAAACTGAGATCTGGGTAGGTGAAGGGATGTCATTGTTCATGGTTATATGGTTAAAAAGTAGAGCAACAGTGGAATTAAACTCTCTGGCCCCTTGTTCTTAGCCATTATTTCATTGTATTTGTCTGGCTTTTATTACTGTGACAAAATACCTGAGGCAGACTACTTATGAAAAAACATGAGTTTCAGCTCACAGTTTTCGGGCTCAAGTCAGTGATTGGGTGGTGCCATTGATTCAGCCTCTGCTGAGCTCTGAGGAACAGAGAACATCATGGTGGGAACATGTGTAAGAGTGAGACCACTCTGTAAGATGGGAAGATAGAGAAACTAGGGTCCTACATTCCCTTCCCAGGGCATGTCCCTAATTGACATAAGTACCTCCCACTAGCTACTACCTCTTAAAAGTTCCATGTACCTTCTGATACCTAACAACCTCCCATGTTGATTCCCTTTTCCACTTCATGTTCTACACTGGCCAGGCCCCTAAATCCTATATGCTACCAGCTCCCAGCTCCTGTAGGAAAGCCCTTTATTGCCTTCTCCTAGGACTTCCTCCCCAGAATTTCTCTCAGCTGGTTCCTGCTGTCCCTTATAACTCAACCTAAATATCTTCTCTTTCACACAGCATTTCCTGAATAATTCCCCCTTGAAACCTGGCTTTGTGTTCTTGACAGATTTTTTTTCACTGTATCCTATATGTCAAATTCTAGCTCAGCCAGGCATGGTCACTGAATGCCTATAATCCCAGCAACCCAGGAGGCTGAGGCAGGAAAATTGCCATGAGTTTGAGGCTAGCCTAGGCTACAGATTGAGAACCTGTCTCAGAGAAAAAAAAAAAAAAAAGAAAAGCAAGAAAAGAAAAAAACTTTTTTTTTGTTTTTTGAGACACAATCTTTTTGCTATGTAATCCATGCTAATCTTGAACTCACTATATAGTCTGTCTAGGCTGGCCTCAAACTCAGTGATCCTTCCACCTCAGCTTCCCAAGGGCTGGGATTACAAGTATATGCCAAAATGCCTGGCCAAAAAAGAAATTTAGCTCAGAACTTTACTACTTATGTGAAGAAGGTCAAGATGATTCATTTTCTAGTTCTCTCTGAGAAAATGAAGTAATAAATGTTCATAGTAGCATTATTCATAACACCCATTAGATAGAAACAATAAAATGCCAATCAACTAGTAAAAGGATAAATAAAATGTGGCATATCTATACACATGACTACACATACAGCACAATGATTGGATCATAAAAAGGAGTGAAATATTGATCTATGCAATAACATGGATGCATATTAAAAATAGTTGCTAAGTAAAAGAAGCCAATCACAAAAGACCATGTGCGATTCTATTGATACAAAAGGTCCAGAGTAGATGTCTGAATTACTTTTCTCATCACTGGGACAAAATAGCGAACTCCCATGACTTAAAAGAAGAGAGGTTAATTTTGTCTCCTGCTTCAGTAAATGGTCAGTTAGCTCCAAAGAAGAGACAGAATGCAGAGGGGAGTGGCAGAGGAAAGCTACTCATGGTATGGTGGACAGGAAGCAGAGAAAAAAGGAGCTGGGGAGGGATATAAACCCCCATTGACCTGATTCCTCTGAACAAACCCTGCTTTCCAACAGCAAGTCAGTTATAACACCCTCATAATCCAATGAGTCTTCAAAAGCCCTGCCATTGAGTGCATAAGACTTTGGAGGGATGTCTAGATATAAACCATAACATTCCCCTCCTAACCCCTAAAAGGCTCATAAGCATCTCTTTATACAAAATGCACTTAGTTTATCTCCAAGAGTTTCCAAAGTCCTGACAGTTTTAGCATTGCTGAAAAGTCTAAGTCCACAGTCTCCTCTGAGATTTAAGGCAAACCTTAGCTGTGAGCCTCTGTAAAAATAAAAAAAAGATAGTTAAATACTGCCAACATACAATCGCATAGGGTAAACATTCCAAGTCCAAAGAGAAAGACTAGGAGAATAGCAATGGAACTGAAATAAGGCTGAAATTTAATGAACTTTACATCAGCTCTATCTATAGAGCTCTATATCCAGCACTGGAGGCAGGTGTGGCAATATGTAAGCTCCAAATGGTTGGGCAGTCTCACCGCTATAGCATTGCTGATGGTTGTACCCCTCTTGGCTTTTCTCTTGGGCTGGCTTTCCTCACTCCTTGTGGCTTTCCTCAGATATTCCATGTTTCTGGGTTCTCCAATTTTCTCGGGTTTCTATTGAACTTTAAGCTTCACTCTCACAGCTTTCACACACTGCCTTCTCAGGAACACACCACCCAGCTTCCAAGGCTGCCTTCTGAGATCTGAGTGGAAGCTTTTATTACCCTATAACTCTTGCATTCTATATGCCTGTAGAACCAGCCACACATGGCTAATACCAAGGTATGCTGCCAGCTAAAGCAGTAGCCAGACCCTTTGGCATAATGGTTATAGAGCCCTCTGAGTGCCTGATGGTTAAACATTGTGAACTAAAATTCTGGGGAACCAATTTCCTAGCCTGTCATTTGGAAGCATAGTGCCTTGGAGCTCACAATAGGGCTCTCTGTGATTCCTGACATACCCTTCATCATATTTCCTATTGTCCTGATCCAAAGTACTATACTTGGCTTCTTTTTAATGCTAGTCTTTCCAGCAACCAAGGTCTCCTCTGCTCTGTCTTTGCAAGTGCTTTCTTTCTGGCAAAACTAAAAACTGTTTAAATGGACTTTTTCCTCTTATATTTTAGTATAAACCTAGCTAAAATCCCCCCAAAAGTATCCATGCCACAGCCCCACTATTGAGCTGCTTTGAAATTTTTCCCACAAGATTAATCAGTCCTTCTCCACTTAATCTCAGTCTCTTATAAAGTCTCAGGACATGAGCAAAATATAGACCATTTTCCCACCAAAGTGTTAAACATGTGGTCTCACAGTCCAACTTCCAATGGAGTCTCTCTTCCCAACTGAACTCCTGAGCCAGGTCTTTACCATCTGCATTTCTGTCCACATTCTGGTCTTTTGAGCTCCAAC